AAACATGATATGTACTCACTCATATGTGGACCTGCTTTATGATACATAGTAGTGACTGTGCTTTATCAGAGCTGTTTTTAATGACGTTGCTCAGAATGGTTTCCTTCCAGATGATGATTGAGAAGCTAATTTTTAAAAAAAAAATGGTGCCAGGTACCACAAGAGTAGCAGAACTGTGCTGTTTTTGGGGGGGATTTTGTTTTTTACTTTTTTTTTTTAATGGAGAGTGCTGGGTGTCTCTATAATTTTGATCAAATGACTGCAGAACCTGGAAAAGCTATTGTTGCTATTGATGCATAACTACTGCCTTATTGGTCTTTTTATATAAATATAAATATAAATATATACATATATAATTTGAATTTTTGGAAACTTTAGCTGTGCTGTCAACTTTGGAAAAATGTATATCAGTTTACCGTGTTCAGTTGGCATTATACAAAAATTAACAGCCATATTGGTCTAGAAATGTTGAACTTAATTTTTTTCCATTTGTACGGGGGTAACGCACTGTATTAAATATGTAAGTTCTTAAAGACAAAAGAAGGGATTTTGAGAGCCCATCCCATGTGAAGGGATGCTCTCTTGGCCTGGACACATGGGGAAGCCCCTTTTGAGGGCCTTACCCTGCCTGGGGAGTGGAGGGGGGATGGCTAGGGGCATGTGGGATGTTGAGGGGTAGGGGAGGAAGAGGGAGAAGGGATTGACATCTGAAGCAAGCTTGTTCCTAATTTGAACTAATAAAATAAAATTAAATTAAAAAAAGAGACAGGATTTCCCATTTGGTTTTAGGATTCCACAGAGGTCTGAGGATTTGGGAGAGGTAAGAAGTCTCTCTAGTGTCTGGCTCCTTTACTTCTCTTACCTTTTACCATATACCCCAATATCTGACTCTGGGTTTTTATTATTAAGACCTATTTAGAACTGGACAAGTCATTCCTAGAAACAATGTTTCTTCTAATCTAAACAGAAGGCCCATGTATGTATGTGCAGAAATGTGTATAAATACAACCTACTGAGTCCATTTTTATCGGTGGTAAATACATGGTTTCTAGGCTGACCTCTCTGTATTGGACAACCAATAATGGGGCTCATTCCTGAGAGAGGCTAATTCTCTCACCAGTCATAAGTTGTCGATAGTTCTTTGTCTACAGGTGAGGCCCCATGAAAATTTTCTCATTAACATGTCCATTGATGTTGCTATTGTTTCAGTTTTGTTTATACAACCACTTCCAAAAGCGACTGTTCTAACAATTCCATTCTTTCTTCTGTTTGTCTATATTAGTCATTTTCATGGTGCTGTGACCAGTAAAACTGGCAGAAACAACTTAAAGAGGGAGTGATTTATTTTGACTGGACATTTCAGAGTTTCAAGGGAAGGCATGGTGGAACAGTGTGAGCCTGGGTCTGTTGTCATGGTTACTCACCAGGAAGCAGAAAAACAGGCTAAAACCAGGGGCTGCCATCACTTTAAATGCCTACCCACCCCTAATGACCTACTTCCATTAACCAAACGCCAACTCCCAAAGTCCCTCATCTTCCCCAAATGGCACCACCAGTTTCGGAACAAACATTTAGGACTTGAGTCTTTTGGGAACATCTGAGACACAAATGATTGTATCATCTGTCCACTGAAATTCTCCCATAGGTTCATGCATATTGTCTATATTTTCCACTGGAGCTTTTAACATATTTATTATGACTATTTTAGCTCCCAAATAGTCTCAAAGGAGTAGTTTACTTTTTCTGTTTTTATTTTACTTTATATTTGGTCAACTTGACCCAATTTTAAGTCATCTAAGAAGGAACCTCAATTGAGAAAATGCTTCACCAGGCCAGTAGTGGCACTAACCTTTAATCCCAGAACTTGGGAAGCAGAAGCAGGTAAATCTCTGAGTTGAAGGCCAGCCTGGTCTACAGAGCAAGTTCCAGGACAGCTGGGGCTGCACAAAGAAATTCTGTCTCTAAAAATCAAGAGAGAAAAAGAGAATTCCTCTATAAGCTTAGCCTGTAGGCAAGTCTGTGGGGCATTTTCTTAATTAATGGTTGATATGGGTGAACTCAGCCTACTAGCCTACTAGGTGGTGGTGCCACCCCTGGGCAGGTGGTCCTAGGTGTATAAGAAAGTTAAGCAAGCTGTGAAGAACAAGCCAATAAGCAGGTTCCTCCATGGTCTCTGCTTCAGCTTCTACCTTAGTTTCCTTTATGATATAAAATGTAAGCTAAATAAACTCTTTCGTCTGAAAGTTGATTTTGATTGGGTTTATCACAGCAATATAAAGAAAACTAGGACATTTATATTGACAAAAGGGTTTATTTCAAATCAAGGCCATCCCAGCCTGAGCTACATAAGACCCTGTCTCTTAAAAAGGAGAATAAAAATGTAAGTTTATAAAAAGCAAATAATAAAGTTAAAATAATTTCTTGGGGTTTCTATTGCTGTGACCATGGCAACTCTTATAAAGAAAACATTTAATTGGGGTGGCTTAGATTTTTAGAGTTTTAGTTCATTGTCATCATGGTGGGACATTGTAGCAGGCAGACAGACATGGTGCAGGAGAAGTAGCTGAGAGTGGAGAAGGAGCTACAACTTGATCCCATGGGCCACAGGAAGCAGTCTGTCTCATGGGGCGTGGTTTGAATATATCAGAGACCTCAAAGCCTACCTCCACAGTGACATACTTCCTCCAACAAGACCACACCTACTCCAAGAAGGCCACACTGCCCATTAGTGCCACTCCTTTTGGGGGTCATTTCCCTTCAAACCACTACAAATACTACTGACTACTTAACTATGGTAAAGAGGAAATCAGGGAAACATAGAAAATAAGATAAGAAAGGAAAAGAGTAATAGAATTAAAATACACGGATGCAAATAGAATTATACACACGGGCAAAAACACTATGAAGCATTGGAGTAGCGTCTCTCAGAGTCCTTGAAAACTGGAGTGTCAGGTAACTGCTCAACGCAGGCAGTCTCTTGAACTCTCATCTTCCCTGTGGTTTGTGCTGGTACATCATAGTTTGTTGTGGACAAATGTCAGGTATCTGTCAGAGCTGTCTCCACTTTAGCAGCTTCTCTTCTTTTCATTGAGAGGCCTCTGTTCACCACACTCAGCTGTGCAGTCCATGGGCTGACCAGATCTTCTCATCATCTCAAGCCTCCTGACTCATGTAGCTAATATAAGCAGCCGGGATGTATCTCTCAAGTGCACTAGGAACATGGCCCACAACCACAGCACTGAAATCTATCCTGTGTCTCCTAGACTTCCTAAAGAAGATGTCTGTCTCCTAAACTACCTGCTAGTCCGTGCTTGTAATCCCAGAACTTGGGAGGCTGAGGCAGGAAGATCAGAAGGTCAAGATTGGGATAGAGGCACAGGGATTGGAAATATGGCTCAGTGGTTAGGGTCACTTGCTGCTCTTCTAGATGGTCCATCTTGGGTTCCCAGCACTGAGGTCAAGCAGCTCACAACAGACTGTAACTCTGAGGGATCCAGAAGATAGCATTGGATCTCTTCTGGTCTCTACATGTACCAATATTTACAGTTTCCTGATTTGCTTACTAAAACACCAACCAGAAGCACCTTGAGGAGGAAAGGGTTTCTTTCATCTTACACTCCTGTGTAATGATCTGCCACTGAGGGAAATCAGGGAAGGAACACAAAGCAGGAACCTTGAAGTGGAAGCCATGAAGCAATATTGCTTTGGCTTTCTCTTCATGTCTTTCTCAGCCTGCTTTCTTAAAGGACCAAGGACCACCTGCCCAAAGCTGGCAGCTTTCCCAGTAGGCTGGGAAATTTTCTCAAGTAGAGATAACACTCTTCCCAGCTTTTTCTATTACCTCAGTGAAAACTGATTATATATCTCTAATTTTTTATTTATTAATTTAAATGTTTCACAAAGGTTCTATTTAGCAAAATGTTGGATCTGATTGGTGTCTAATCATGGTGGCACCCACCTGTAATCCCAGTGTTCAAGAGGCAGAGGCATGATCATGGATTATAGGCTAGCCTATTTACTATGGCCTACAACTTGAGCCAGTCAAGCAAACACACAAAACTAAAACTCAATTACTGTTTCCTGGGCATGGCAAAGATTTTAGCTGAGAACCCCACTATCTTGAACAAAATATTTTATTTCCTTCCTTCTGTGCAATTAAATGTAACCACAGGACTGAATTTGAACCAAGAAAACATGGATGAAAGTGCTTTGTGAAACCTCCTAAGACATCTTCCAAGAGAAAGAGTCATTCCTGATTGTAGAATGTGAGTGTGATCTCTGAAACTCCAGCCATTTTGTAAACGCAAAGGTAACCCAGTAAGAGCAGAACAAAGAAATAAAAATAAGGGCTATAATGAGGCTGGCTTAGAACTGCAGGACTGAAACTGAAATTTCCACCGACAGGTAGATTTTTTTTGAGGGGGGTGGCAGTTGACTCAAAGCTTTTATTTCACTAATAGGTCCACAGGTGGGTGGGTGACCCCTAGAGGGCCACCTCAGGGCCCACCTCTCCTACTCCCTGGCCCGTTCTGCCTTCCCTTCCCTCTGTTTCTTCCTCTGGAGCAGCCGCCCAGCTCCTAGAACTTGCTCCTTCATTCGCTTCACGCTTTACGTAGTCCAGGTGGTCGCAGTAGTGCCAGTCATGCTGCTCATGCTTGCAAGCCAGGAAGTTGGGGAAGCTGTCCCGCTTGCACTTCGGCAGCCGGATGAGGTAGTGGGCACAGTAGTCATGTTGCTGCAGTGTCAGCTGGGCATCGTTCATCTCCTGTTGCGTAGCCACCCTTACGTGTTCCTTGTGCTCCGGGAAGCTGGGCATCTGCAGCGGGTCAGTCTCCACCGAGGCGTCCCCCACATAGCGCCAGGCCAGGTGCGCCCCCATAGCTGCTCTGCCTCACTCTCCTTTGGCAACCCGGATCACCTCACTCCCACCTGGAAGCACTGCTCCTTTCAGGTAGATTTTATGTAGGAGAAAAAAATACATGTTTTGAGAGCCCAGTACCAAACTCAGTCCAAACCACTGTAGTTGGTGACAACTCATTTTCGGTATGCTTGAATTATTAAATAACTTAAATTTTAATTAAAGCAAAATTGTATATATGACTTTCAAAAATGCACACTGTCTTAGTTAGGGTTTTTATAGCTGCAACGAAACACCATGACCAAAAGGCAAATTGGGGAGGAAAGGGTTTATTTGGCTGACACTTCCACATTGCTGCTCATCATTGAACGAAGTCAGGACAGGAACTCAAACAGGGCAGGATCCTGGATGCAGGAGCTGATGCAGAAGCCATGGAGGGGTACCGCTTGCTGGTTTGCTTCCTCGTCTTGGCTTATTCAACCCGCTTTTATTTTTATTTATTTATTTATTTATTTATTTTGTTTTTTGAGACAGGGTTTCTCTGGGTAGCTTTGGAGCCTATCCTGGCACTCGCTCTGGAGACCAGGTTGGCCTCAAACTCACAGTGATCCGTTTGCCTCTGCCTCCTGAGTGCTGGGATTAAAGGCGTGAGCCACCAACCTGCTTTCTTATAGAACCCAGGGATGATGACACCCACAATGGGCTGGGCCTTCCCCCATTGGTCACTAATTGAAAAAATGCCTTACAGCTGGATCTCATGGAGGCATTTTCTCAGCTGAGGCTCCTTCCTTTGATGACTCCAGTTTGTATCAAGTTGACACAATGCCAGCCAGCACATACACTGAAGCCAGGCATGATGTCTGTGATCCCAGCATTCAGAGGAAGGGACACAGGGATTGTGAGTTTGAGGACTGCCAGACCTATAAAATGAGACCATCTCTCAAAAAATAAGCAGGATAAACAAGAATTAAACATATTTTGAAGATGAAAATATTTTAATTTTTTTTGGAGGGGGAGCAGGTAGAGACATGGTTTTTTTCTGTGTTGCCCTGGCTGTCCTAGAACTTGCTCTGTGGATCAGGCTGTTCTCGAACTCAGAGATCCACCTGCCTCTGCCTCCCCAATGTTGAGATTAAAGGAATATGTCACACTGCCTAGAAAAAATTTTATTACATTTATTTATTTAATTTGTTTGTCTGTGCATGTGACCATAGACCATGTATGTGAAAAGCAGAGGACAACATGTGAGTGTAGGTTCTCTCCTTACATTTGTGGGTCCTGGAGATTAAACTAGGTCTTCAGGCTTGGTGGCAAGTGCCTTTACCTGCCAAGCTATCTCAGCACCCCCCACAAAAAAAAGCATGCTAAAATGTTAACACCATTCCTTCAGATAGTAATATTGTGTATGGTTGTTTTTAATCTTACCTTTGTATATAGTCAAATTTTCCACATTGAGCATTATTGCTCAAAATTCTTTTTGTTTATCAAGGTATGCTTTTTCTTTCTTTGTGGTTGTCTTCCTTCTGTCCCTATACAGCTCCAGTGTGAAATGAGAAGTATTATAAAGGAACATGAGCTCCTCCACTTCTCCACTTTTCGCCAACGACTTTTCTCCCCATCAGCAACCTTAGCTCCTCGTTAGGATCCTCAACTAAAACCTGGCTCTGGAGCTAGCTCTTCCTCTGGGTCTTAAGTACTGTGCTGAAGGCTATAGTTAGCATTATCTTGGGTACCTCAGAAACCAACCAATTTTTCCTTGCATCTGAATGTCCCGCGCGATCGTCTCGCCAGCAAGAACGACACAGGACACTCGGATCCTTCTGCAGTAAAGCTTTAATGCATCTTGAGAGACAGATGATCAGCTTCCGATTAGGGAGACCCCAAGCCAAGAATCCTGTCCCCTTATAAAGGCTCATAAGCTCCCAGCAGTGCGTGTACAGCTGGGATAGGTGGAGGACTCATCACCCTATATGACGCCACAGAAGAGGCAAGACTAGGCAAGTGGAAAAACACTTTGCACATGCACACCAACATTGTTTACTTGATCCGGCAGCGGATGTCAGCGCCATCTTGTAATGGCGAATGTGAGTGCGGCTCCTCACATCTGAATGGTCTTATTCTTCACAGCAAGGACCAAACTCATTGAACGTATCCAAAAACCCCTGAATTTGGAGGACATCTTTGTTTAACTCTTGATATAAGATCTGAAATTCTATTTGCTTCATGTATTTATTTCTCTAATGCTGCAATAAAAATTACTCCAATTTGCCAGATTAAAACAACAACACATTTATTATTTGCATTGTTGGAGGGGTATCAGCAATTCAGACATCACTTAATTAGGGGCCTCTGTCTCACAACTTCCAACAAGACAGAAATCAAGACAGCCAGGGCTACCACCAACTTAAAATGCAACTGAAACAGGATGGATGCACTTCTAAACTCACCCTCACAGATGTTCCCAGGGTTCAGGACCTGGATGCTATTGGGTTGAAGCTCACAGGGTTTCGATACATGCTGACCAGAAGCTATTCCTTGTCATCAAGCCTCTCCATCATGGCAGCTATCTTCATCAGAATATACAAGAAAACACAGGCAAGAACAAGAATGACACCATGGTGGCAAGGGGGTGGGGATACCTAACAAGGTAGAAATTGCAGCCCTTTGTAACCTAATCATGAAACTGGTATCCCTATTGCCTCATTTTATTCATGAAAAGCAAGTCTCAGAGTTCTAGCTCAAGCACAAGGGAAGGAGATCACACAAAGGATTTAGTCCAAAGGAGGTAGGAGGCACTGAAAACCCTCAGAAGACTGCCTACCTTACTAGGTCTCACTCTCTCTTTCAAAAGTCCTCCTCACAGTTTCTTCCAGGAGGCCTAGCAGGACCTCAAGCAAACTGGACTCCGAATGACCTCTTCTGCTTCCCCCGGTCCCACTGAGACAGCCCAGCCATACTCATTCTTCCTTTCTCTTTGCAGCACCATCCAATTTGGCTTAGCCTTTTGGAGAAGGAAAGTAGTAAACAGAAGAAAAGGAAAGTTTGTCTAAAGCTAAAGACTTAAAAGATGCTCTGGTTTCCAAAAACATATTCTGCCCCCTGGTGAAAGAAAGAAAGAAAGAAAGAAAGAAAGAAAGAAAGAAAGAAAGAAAGAAAGAAAGAAAGAAAGAAAGAAAGGAATCCTCCCTGTGCTTGTCCGGTACACTTGACCCTGGGGCCCACAGCACACTATTCCTGTTCACAGTCACTGAAGCCACACTGTCTTCCTGAAAGAGTTATCTTGGCCTTAGCTGGAGCTCAGCTCCACAGAGGGACTTAAAAGGAAACAACAGCTCTTGGTCCCAAGCAATAAAAAGACAAATGAGTCATAACAGTCTGGATTCTCCACCAGCCTCAGCAGTTCCGTGAATCGTCTCCATAAAAACCCGCCCTTCCATCCCAAGCTGCGTTCCAAGTGCCAAAGCCTTCCATTCAAGAGTTTTATAACTCAGCCCTGTGCTCAGAAATGTCACTGCACACAAGAGGGCCTTTGATCTCAGGCCTTACCCGGGCCCAGAGTCTGCAGCGAAGCATGCTTTGATAACTATCTAAAGAGAAAAGTGCTTTGGCGTCCTCTCATCTATTTCTATTCTAACTTTAACAAGCTGCTTAGCTCTGGGCATCTGCCCTCTGCCCTCTGAGCTTCATATGAATCAGAAGTGACACAGGCCGGTGGTTATGCGCTCTGAGAACTTTTTAAAAGGATGATGGTAGCACATATTCATAAAGGGCTTACTGTGTGCCAGGCACTGTCTTCAGTTTGTGCAGGCTGTGGGGTGTAGGGTGCTGATGAGGCAATGGGAGCACAGAGAGGCTCCGAATGGCTGATAAAGCCACGAAGCCAGTATAGGGCAGAGTAAGGATATTAAAAAAATAAATAAATAAACCAAGAGTGCATCTCCAGAGTAGCTCTTGCCCCTCTACAATGAGAAGAATATAATATTCCATATATATCCCAGTATGATGTCATAAGAATGTCTTTAATAAGAGAGAAACTTTGGAACAAATTCCTCCACCTAAAAACACATTCTTTTTTCCAAGTACTGTGTTAGAAATCCTTTCAGTGAGGAAAGTGAAAAGGCCAACTTGGTACTATATGGAAACTTTACACAAGCTTTCAATGACTCCAGTTGAACTGAAGGATCCAAGTCTGATAAATTTATGCTCTAAAATCTTTTGTAAGTGAACCTATTGGAAGTATACTTCTCTAGCTTAGTTGTCCTTCTGTGGAATATAAATATAGAAGGGCTAGGGAGAAGCTCCATGCTAAAGCACTGGGTTTGATCCCTATCGTCCGAAAATGCATGAGGCATGGGGACTTTATTACTCAACACACTGGTACACATCTACACTCTCTGCATTCAAAAGTCTGAGTGAGGCCAAGACCACTCTGGGCTACATAGTAACTTTGAGGCTAGCCTGGGCTACACCATAAAACCTTGCCTCAAAATAGTAATAATAGTAATAATAACAACAATAGTAAATTTTTAAAAAAGACTTCCTGATTTAAGTTAGAGACCTGGACTTTTAAACACATATTTTCACTAAGTATAGAAATACACAAAAAACATCTAGGTCAGAAAATGATGATTGTTGTCATAAATAAGATGTATAATTTAGCCTTTCAAACATATCAGCATTTGAAAATTAGTTATGGGACATGGCTCAGTGGGTACATGCCCACTGCACACATCAGGATTTAGTTGGGATCCCTAGCACCCAGAAAAGCCAGGGGCAGTGGGACATATGCCTGTAACCCCAACACTGGGGCCCAGAGACTAGCAGACCCTGGAGGCTTGCAGCAGCTAATCTAGCTGAAATGTTGAGCTCTAGGTTCAGTGAGAGACCCTATTTCAAAATATAAGGTGGCAGGACTAGAGAGACAGATCAGCAGATAAGAGAAGTCCATGCTTTTCCAGGAGACCCAAGTTCAGTTCCCAGGACCCATGTTGGACAGCTCACAAGTGTGATCCAACACACAC